AAATAACTAAACTATAATTAACGTATATATTTAATAAATTATTCCTGAATTATTCAAAAAATTTATTTATGTTTATTTTCTGAGCAAGTTTTCAAAAAATAAAACGCAAAAAAAAAATTTATGACGATGTTTAATTACATCGTTTAATATATTTCAATAATCAGGTTTTTTCTGTCAAAAACGATTTTATGTAACTACATTATTTTATTTGATAAGAAGAGTATGATCAAAAATTTTTAAACTAAAGGATTATGTATTTATGTAAACACTTTTTGGAAAGTTAATGAATATTAGGAATTGAAAAGCAAAAATTATTTTCTTTAATTTGTTTTATTATTCATACAAATACATACAATAATAATAATATTGGGTAGTATTGCCTTAGTGCAAGATCGTGAGCTGAATCAATGCTCCAACTTGATTTAGGGTAGAATATGTTTTTCTTCTAAGAAAAAAAAATCTCTATCAAAATATGAGTAAACTAAATCCAACAATTTAAGAACCACTACATTGAATCATAGCATTAACATAACTTTTTTAAATAGATAATTTTTTAATATGAAATTTATATATCTTTTTTTAATATATTGGATTGAATAACACGGTTACATAAATCTTTATGCCAAATTTTAAATTAAATTTATTCATGTATGAGTCTTTCATTTTCAAATTGATATATCCAAAAACTTAATTTTTTAGCTGTCGTGAAAATTTTGGCAGTTTGTCAATGTTTACAGAAATCAAAGTATAAATTATTAATCTTGAAAGACAAATTGCTAATAATACAATTTATAAAAATTTGGTTTCAAAAAAGACGTATTCTTATATGCAATGCTATCGGATAATGAACTACAACTCTGGTTTTGCTCCAACTTATATAAGGCAAGAAATCCGAGCGTCCGTAATGAATTGTGAAATGTGTTATCACATGTTATGATTGAAATGTGGGTAATTGCCAATGGCTTTTTCTATAAACGATTAAAAAGCGTTTATTGTGATCTAGATATGTAATTTAAAGTTTTGTAGAATAATTTAGAAATAAAATTTATAAAGTTTTATCATATATAAAGAACATATAATGAAACAGTAAACACTTTTAATTTGCCCCATAGACGGTGTGAAATACGACCGCCAGGGGGCGAACATATCCCATATTTTATTTGCAATTTTAAAGGGGATTACCAAAATTATAGCTACATTTTGGGCGATAAATAAATAGCTACATTGCCATGGGCGTTAAATAATTAAATAAATTATTCAACAAATGTAAAATTTAAATTTTATGGTTACATTTTTCCAGAGCTAACTCTGTATATAATCATGATCTGAAATATTTGTTAGCAGAGTTGCAATAACTATTTATTTAATTATTGTCTTGTTAATTTGCTTATCTATCTTATTTAATTTTATCATTTACATTTTTTTATTGTTTACACCTTTGCCAGTGTAAAGCTTCAGTTGGTCCATTTTACTCAACCCACATGTAAACTTTTATAGAGGTTATATGAAAAACTGTTAAAAATAACAATACAACTTTTAATTTTTATTATTCAGAACCTAATAGTCTTATAAGCTGTTGTGCTGATTTTGACTTTACTAGTCTGTTTGACAGATTGCAATTCAATCATACAACTTTTAAAACGATTAACGTGTACCTAAAAATTATATAAATGTCTCGTAAACTAAACAACAGTGCTTACAACCATTGAAACTAATAACGAAAGAAAATACTTTTGGATTTTCAAACATTGCGGTTTACTCCTGAAAGTTGCAAAATCAAGATGTAGGCTGGATATTCATCTTTTACCATCTACTTCCAAATATTTTTATTAAAAATTTTTACTTGTTTTTACTTGAGATATCGGTGGTAGACCTTTTTACCCGTATACCTTTAAGCCCCACTCTACACTATATCAAAAGCCGTGCTAGTGCTTATAGAACTAACGTCCTATGTCTCATTTCAGAATATAATTTATGTAACCACTAAGTTATTATTATTTTTTATTCATTTTCTGGTATTCGGCCTTGCGGTAATTTTGCCATTATAAATTGTGTATTCTTATATTTGTGTGTATGCATGTTTATATATATATAAACATACATGTACATATTTATTTATTTGGAATTATTTATGCCTTCATTTGTACATTTATAAACACAGATGACACATATATGTGTGCAAAAAATATTATCTAAAATTTATACATTTTCAGACTTAGATATTTTACATTTTTCACAATTTATTTTTTGGATTTTACAAGTACATACTAGAAAATTATCAATTCAATGCTCAAAAGCTGCAAATAAGTTTACGCAAAATTGCATTCATTGGTGTAGCGTTTGCCAGAATACTTTTTACCTAAATTTAGTATTTTTTATTTTATTTTCAGAAACATACTACAGCTTTTAGAGATTTATTAATTGTAGTAATTTTCATTTACGATTTACAAATATATATGATCGTCTTTCTCTATATGAGTCCTGCAGCCTATGTATTTAAAGCTATGTTAAATAACCAACAATAAATATATCCTTAATTCACATTTGACTAATGTAGATTGTCTTTTACTTATCAATACCATTGGTGCAGTTAAATCAATCGCGAGTTACAAACAATAGGTGATCATCTGACAATGATATTGATCCCACTCTAGTTAAATGGCACAAAAGTACTTTATTTACATTTCATTGTTAAGGATTTCATATAAAATTGTTTTATTTTATAATATGATGTTTATAAGATGAACTCTTGTTACGATTTTCTCCATAGTGGAATACATATAATGGGAGTCTAAATGTCTTTTGTGACTCTCGTGAAGTTTTGCTAAAATTATCTATAATAAATCAGTAATTTATAGAGGCATATAGAATTGTATCCAAATAGATAATTTCAAGTCCACTATTAAAAATATTTTTAGAATATTATGAAAGTAGAACTATCTTGTGATAAAGAAACACGTGTATTACAATTTCCAAAAAATACTTAAATGTTATCAATTGCCTTAAATTGAAATTATTTTTGATATGTGAATTTATTTTGTTACTTGTAATTTTCAAAGACTGACAGTGTTGAAAATGAAATATATCTATATAGCACAATTGTGACAGTGCTTATGCTCGTCCATAGATAAGTGGTTAGAGCGACGGAATTTTTATCAGAGGTCCTCCGTCAAGCTTATATAAATTAAGCGGTTTTTATTCGAAAATATAGGTTCCAAGTAAGAAATTGTAATAATAAAAATTTATCACAACAGCTCATAGATAACCCTTGAGGGGGCGTCCATTAATCCGTTTTTAGGGGGAGGGGGGTTTGACAAAAAATCACGAAATATTACGTGGGCGGAAGGAGGGGTATGGTAAGATATCACGTGTATTTATTTTTTAACTGATTTTTTTTAAAAGAAATCAAAATCCTCAAAAAAAATCAAAAATTTTAGTTTTTTCACGCGACTAATAATACACGTGATGTTTGGAGGGGGAGGGGGGGTTAATTTTGAATATCATCATGTATCACCAAGGGGGAGGTCCCAAAATTCTTAAAACCTAGCTCACGTGATTAATGGACGCCCCCTGAGTTCTGAGGGCTGTTCAATTAGATAAAAACGAAGATATTAGTTTAAATACCACCTACAATATACATTTTTGTAGAATGATAGTCAGAAAATGGAAAAATCTAACGTGCGAATCTAATTATGTTTAATGCTATTTAAAGCATCATATCATATTTTGATAGCGTTTTCTTTGGGAATTGAGTAAACACAAAAATTTCGATAAAAAATAATCGAACTCTAAACAAAATGCTTAAAGGTAATACTGAATATAAATATTGTGTAAATAATAGGGAGATTGAACTTGATTCGTTTAAAATCAAAGACCATGATTGAGATGAAATTAGGAATATTCAAAATGCCAAATATTTCAGAAAGTAATATCATATAGAAGGTTTAGGGGCCTATTATAACAGTTTTTTTTAAATAAATATATCTTGAAATCTACTAGTTATATTACTACAAAACAAAAAGGGATTGTTGCTGTAACCGTTAATGAATTAAGTGAAAATAATTGAAAAACTGCTGTACAATATTTTACAATTAATTTCTACAAAAATGCAGTGTTACAATTTATTTAAATTAAACGGCCTGTCGTGTGTCTGTAATATTTAAGTAAGCTCTATAAGACCATGATATCAGTCGCCAAAAAAGATATAACAAAAATTGACAAAAAAATTAACACATTACAACGAAAACAGCCCGATCTGTGCCAAAAACTAATCCGCACGATTTGCATCCAATATCTCTTGAAAAGTTTTTGAATTTAATATAAAATTCGATTTAATAATGTGGCCTGAAACGTGCACAAAATTTTTACGCTTTTCTGATAATGACAAAGAAATGGCTTGGCATATTATTGAGCAAAAGTGACCAACAATAGTCCTTATCGAGATAGATCGGATACCTTTTGAATTTTTGGAATTGGTCCATCAGTTGTTTTTGAGAAAACGTCGTCTATAGGTCAAAAATCTGCTCACATGCACAAACATTTTTTCCAAATTTGGTCTCATTGGATTAATAATGATTTGAAACGTCGTGGAAACATAAGTATAGCAAATTGGATTTCTTCGCAAAAAAATCAACTTCTCTTACGGGAAGTTAAAAACGTATACGAGGCGTTAATAAAATTAATCGTGATGCTAACAACTAGTGAATCTCTTATAAAATCCGTGCAATCGTGCAATCACGTACACAGTGACCGTGAATTTCAATGCATCACGTTTTTTCCGAGCCGAGATCTCGATCCGAAGCAGAGCATAACTGGTCAACGTAATCCGAATAACGTCGCGCCAGGTTGTATTGCGATATTACGGCATCCGACCAGATCCCCGAGAAGGGCCGCTGGAGCGGCTAACCGACTGCCCGCCATCGAGACGCGAAACTCTGCTGCGGCGACTACGTATGCCTACCGAAAGCGAAAGTATATCGCCACCACGGTAATGTTCATACATGTCGCTGTCCCACTATAAAAGCTCCGAACGACTCGGCAAAAGCATCCAGTGCACATCTGGAGCCCAGGCTCAACTGTTGTTCTCAATTCGCAATGAAGTCCATGGTAAGCCATCATGATTGGCATAGTTTACCGATAAATACGATACGTGAATAATAAATTATTATGGTAGGGCAGTGCGACGGAATTTTAACGCGGCAAGTGTCATGAATAACAAAACGGATATGAAACAAATACGGTGCTATCACGGATACGTGCTTTCTTTTTTGGACTTTTCGAAAATTATGGAAGCATTATTGGATTACGCTCCAGACTGATTGAATTTTGTGTTTTGGATTACCTTAATTGAAATTTTGATTAACTTATTGAAGTGATGATATATATTAACTTCCGTGTTCTAAATTCCATCATTGCATGATTGTTCTAGTTTTAATATTTATGATTTTTAATAATTCATAAAGGATATATATGTACTATCAAGGTTACTCATTGTTTATTTATTTGAATTGCAAATGAAGATTTTGTAATAGACATATAATTATATGAAATATTTTCATTCATCCGCATGCGACCTTAGCATGAGAATATTTTTATTCTCATAATAATGTCATTAATGTAATAGTGACAATATCGCACGGGCGATTGTTTTTTGGAAAGTTTTAATTATTCTTGTAAAGAATATTTCGCACCGCACTATAGATAGTAAAATTGTGTCAACACTTAAACCAGTATATTATTATTAAAAAAAGATTAACACGATTTCTTATTTCTTGGACAGTTATTTGTAGGTGTGGTGGCGCTTGCGCTTGTCGCAGCGGCGGAAGAAAAGAAGGCGGCTGAAGAACCAAAGAAACAAGAAAAACGTGGTCTGGTCGACTTTGGCTACGGACATAGTGGATTTGGAGGAGGTCTTGGAGGTGATCATGGAGCCCTTCTTGGAGGACATGGCGGTTTTATCGGTGGACACGAAGGTCTTGCCGATCTTAGCGGTTATGCCGGCGGTTATGGTGGCTATCACGGAGATCACGGTTCCCACAAAACACTTACTGTCGTCAAAAATGTAGCTGTTCCATACCCAGTTGAAAAGGTCGTGCATGTTCCCGTAACCAAGCACGTACCCGTCCCCGTCAAGGTTCCAGTACCACAACCTTACCCAGTCGTTAAGGAAGTGCCGTACCCAGTTAAGGAAATCGTGAAAGTACCCGTACACGTGCCACAACCCTACCCAGTAGAGAAAACCGTCCATGTTCCAGTGAAAGTACCAGTCGACCGCCCAGTACCATACAAAGTATTCGTCCCACAACCATACCCAGTCGAGAAGGAAGTGCCAGTAGCCGTCAAAGTACCAGTACCAGCTCCTTACCCAGTAGAAAAGCACGTGCATGTTCCAGTCAAAGTACCAGTCCACGTACCACAACCCTACCCAGTCGTCAAGCACGTCCCATACGAAGTCAAGGTTCCATACGACAGACCTTACCCAGTCCATGTACCAAAACCATACCCAGTCCCAGTTGAGAAACACGTCCCATACCCAGTAGAAAAACACATCCCATACCCAGTCAAAGTACCTTATGACAGACCTTACCCAGTCCATGTAGAGAAACCAGTACCTTACCCAGTTAAGGTCGCCGTCCCAGCCCCATACCCAGTCGTCAAGAACGTCCCATATCCAGTAGAGAAACACATCCCATACCCAGTCAAAGTACCAGTCGATAGGCCTTATCCAGTCCATGTGGAGAAACATGTACCTTATCCAGTTGAGAAGCCTGTACCTTACCCAGTAAAGGTCGCTGTACCAGTGGCCGTACACAGCCACCACGAAAGTCATGACTTTGGTGGACACCACTATTAGATCGATAATTTATTTATTATATAAGTAAAAGATATGTATTTTTGTACCTACGTGTGTCGTCATTTTACATCATTCACCGAATATGTCATGTTTTGTAAATAAATAAAATTTTAAAATAATTATTTATTTGTAGTTTCATTAATAAACACTATAGTCAATACAAATATAATTTTAAGACAGTGAATTTGATTAAATTCAATTTCACATAAAAATGAAGTAATGTGTATCAAAAATATATAATTTTCTAAAATGAATGGTATCCGTAATGATTTTGTAACAAAGTTATTATTATTTTGCGAAACTCACGTACACATTTATAATACACATATATGGACATTTGATTTCGAAATTCTATATTATGCAACAAATGTAAATGCTTTAAATTTAGAGGTAGTGGGATCGACCTCATTCAATAATTCAAAGAAAAGTTTTTCTTAATACACTATCATCCAACTTGTTTAAGACACGCAATATTAACCATGGTAAACTAAATGGCTAAATAGCAAATAAAAGAAATCATCAGTTATATATGAGGCATAAATAATAATAATTGTAATAGATAAAATCAGTGTTGTGAAGCAAAGTGTTGTTTATATCTCTACAATTTAATAATTATAAATTAAGAAAATATTAAATTTGTTTTTATATAAATATATTTTTACGCCTATTTATGAATGTGAAGAATAGTTGCTCTTGCATAACTCTATATTTAAATGAAGTAACATTTTGTTCTATATTGCTAGAATGTTTATATCAAATATATATTCTGAACTACAAAATTTATTTAGTATAGAAAAAATATTATATATAGATTGATCGCATTAAATTTCATTTTTTAATAATAGGCGATAATTTTCATGTGCTTATTAAGGAATTTGTATCTATGTTATGGGTTAATGATCTAAATAATATGAGATAAAACCTACTTCACAATACTGTTTTCAATAGGTTAGGGCAGGGCACATAGGTCCAATTTGACTTTAAGTAATTATACTGTCAAAACCAAATGACCTACATCACAACACATAACACGTTTCAAACAACTATCGTACTAAATTGAGTAAATTTTTTAGTTAATTCCTAATCATGAAAAAGTTTTTTTTCCTATTTTTATAAAATTCATCATTTTTCCGAATGGGCGGTGTAAAATGGGACAGGCAGGGAGTAAACGTACCCGATGTCTTATTTTTAATTACAAAAAGATTTTACAAAATAATAGCTACAATATTCAATCAATGCGAAATAGACATTTCATGGGCGGATTTTGTACAGGAAAACATCGTATATAACCTTGATATGGTGTTTTATCAGAAATATTTATTATAAGACTTGGAATGATTACTAGTATAAATTATTTCATGAAAGTAAAAGTAATTTTTTTTTCAACTAAGAGTGCATTTATATTTTTTTTATTGTTTACGTCTTTGCCAAGGTAAAGACGAATAATACATCGGGTATGTTTGTCCCCTGCCTGTCCCATTTTACACCGCCGATTCTTTACCGATTGCGAAAGGTTCAATTAGTTTTTTTACCCCATCCTCATGTATGCTATTATAAAGGTTAAACTTAACAATACATCTTATGAAACAATTATACAACGTATACTTAAATATTATTTTAAGATAACGTAAACTAAACAACATAGTTTACATCCAAAAAAACTACCAACGAAAGAAAGTACTTTTGTTATAAATTTTCAAACATTGCTCTTTTATCTCCTGATAAATATTGATGTTAAAAATTCCTCATTTACTCGATTTTGAAATTAAGAAAGGACCTTTTTACCAGCCGACTTTTAAACCTCGATCTACCCTAAAGTTTATTTGTTACTACATATATGGCGTCTTCTGACATCTAGACATAATAAAATAAGAAACAAAAAAGTGATCGTAGTAAACACAATCATCTTTTGTTATATTTGTCAATAAAATATTGTTTTGATCTAAAAAGTTTAAATGTTCGTATTATTTATTATATTTTGTCATCGGATTAAATCTTCATCAAAGATAAATTGTGTTTTTAATCATTTACGAAGTAAATATATAGTTTATAAAACTATACATATTTCAATGTTTTTTCTTGAGATAGATTACAAAGTAAACACAATTATTTAAATTTTGCAAGATTGATGGTAAAAAAGTACAAAAAACAATGAATCTAGTTATATCACAAAATCACAAAATTAAGTTTGACTGTTGGAATATTCATAAGAGTACCAACTTAACTAAAGTTTAGCAAATATAATTATAAATTAATTTCTAACTAATGCTTAATTATATGGAATTTAAAAAAAAACTGAGTTTAACCAGATGAAATTAATTCGAACTGGGGATCTGCGTTAAATATAACCAATGAAAATATTTTTATGCGAATAATAATACTAATGATTCTTTAACAAGAAATTTTATTGAAAAGGGCTAAGGGCTGAATAGTGATTGAGAAAAGTGATAGTTTGGTGAAACGCATTATCGTGGAAAACAATATTTATAATTGTAATTTGACTATATAAATTTGTGTATAAGTTTACAAAATGTACAATCGGTTGAGGATTTTTTAAAAAACTAAGAAAGAAGTGTTACAAGATAAATAATTTTTACTAACTTGCTTGTTAGCGACTCGGTAATAATATAAATTATGATTAAAAAAAAGTTTTTTTAGGAAAATTGCAATTTATGTTAAATAATAATTATTTATACATAATTTTTTTAATAGTTTTTAACAGCTATATTTTGACTTATGCATTATCGAAGAGTAAAAATATTTATAATTCCCACATGATCAACAATTTCCAATATAGTATGTAAAATAATAATTATTTATAATTATGTTCTTTATAAATTTGATCTGTATTATACAATTTAAACATAGTGGTCTCTATGTGAGAACCGCTAGAACGATTTAGCTAATAATCTTACCGGTGTTTTACACTGATTTATCTTTTATATGAAATAACATAAATTTAATTTATTTAGATAGTTGAGACAAATTAAAAAAACATATTGAAATTAAGCGAAAAATTTCAGTTAAGTTTAGCTGAAAATGACTTGAAAAAAAAGTGTAATTTATAAATATCATTCATTTCGTTTCAAATATAATAAAGTCGAGTAATGTTTCATTTTATGCAAAAATTTTGTCTAAAATAAATGCAGTCCCTTTGAGATTCTAATTAATTAATTAATTACATTTTATGATTTACTCATAACTTCTTCAAAAGTTTTTGAATATTTTTAAAAGAATTGATTGATGCGCAGACCGAATTGATTAATACAGTTCTATTTTATATATATTTTTATTTAAATGCTTAAAATGACATTTTATACTAAATTAAAATTAATTGTTACGCCTGCGATACATTCACATTTATGACGAGTATCGTTAGATGTCTAGACATCTAGGCGGAATTACCTTCCACTTGCTTCAATAAAGTATAAAAATGACTAATTTTTAACTTCCCGAAGGAGAAGTTTATGTTTTCATCAAAAAATCTGATTCGCTAATTTTATGTTTTCTTGACATTTCAAGCCATTCTGAATCGAATGAGACCAAATTTGGAAAAAGTATGTGTGTGTGAGCGTGTGTGTGAACAGATCTTTTGCCGTAAATCAACGTTTTCTCAAAAACGGCTGAACCGATTTCAAAAATTTAAAAGCCATTCGCTGTATCTCAATGAGGACTAGGGCTTTCGAGTTTTGTGCGGCAATCGGCCAAGCCGTTTCTTTGTAAATCGCAGAAAAGTGAAAAAAATTTCGTCCACGTTTTAGCCCGCAATTCTGAATCGATTTTGAAAATTCAAAAACCGTTTGATAGATATTGGGAATCGTGCTGATTAGTTTTTGGTAAAGATCTGCCTGCCCGTTTTCTTGTAATAAAGTTTTAAAAAAAAAAATCGACGATTTTTATGAATTTTTTGACGGTAGATACCATAGTCTTCTAGATCATACTAAAATATTACCGCCCTACGACAACCCGTTTTGCTTTAAAAATTCGTCAAAGTTTGCAAAAATTGGTATCATTTTTTTGGCATTTGTCAAAATTAGACCTTTCATCGACGTTTGCTCAAAAACCCCCGAACCGATTTCAGAAATTTAAAAGCCATTCGATGTATCTCAATGAGCACTATAGTTTGTGAGACGATCTGCCGAGCCGTTTCTTTGTCATTTGAAAAATAATGTTAAATATTTTGTCCGCATTTAAGCTCATTCTACCGAATCGATTTTAAAAAATCAAAAACTGTTCGAAAGATATTAGTTGGGAATGATGCTGATTAATTTTAGATGAAAATCTACTGAGCCGTTTTCTTGTAATTAACTGTTGAAAAAAAAATTTAAGCCGATTTTTATGGAACTTTTTTTTGGCAATATATATTATGGTCTTATAGAACTTACTGAAATATTACGGCTTTACGACAAGTAGTTTAATTTTAAAAATTCACCACAGTTTGAGAAAATGAATTGTTTTTTTGACGTTTGTTAAAATTAAAATTAGATGATTTACTTGGTATAACAATAGATTACTTGGTCTTAATGAACATACTAAACCATTAACGTCCTATGAAAACTGGTTCAATTGTAAAAATTATTGATTTGTGAAAATTTGCTTTTAGAAAATACTCCGAGTTAACGTGTTCATTCATTTTCAATTATGTGTAATAAATCCACTCGGAATACTTTTAATTAATCATAAATTAATTTGTTTATTATTGATTAAGTCGATTATTTACACATATCGGGATGTTCATGTAACTTGCCTTAAGGCTAAATACCAATACCAAATAGTTGAATTTGAAAATACAACTTATATAGGAGAAATTTTTAAAAGTATTTTGTCAAATTTATTATCAGTATTACAACATTTTTTAAAGAGTAATATGATATCAATAATTGTTAAATTTACATAAAGAGGTAGACAGGTGAACAGATGACAGGTGAGCTGGTAGATAAGTAGACAAGTAGAAAATATGACGATAGACAAAAAGAAAGACAAGACATACTGATAAGTTG